TCTCCTGTGTGAGTGCGGGAATGTGTCCGAAGGTTTTGATTTGTGGTGAACTTCTTGGGGCACACCGTGCACTCGAATGGCTTCTCTCCTGTGTGGGTACGAAGATGTCTGAGCAGGCTGCTCTCGTCAGAAAACTTCTTTTGGCACACCGTGCACTCGAATGGCTTTTCTCCTGTGTGGGTACGGAGATGTGTCCGAAGATTTCCACTATGAGAGAACTTCTTTTGGCACACAGTACACTCGAATGGCTTCTCCCCTGTGTGAGTGCGGAAATGAACCCGCAGGACGTGATTTTCGGCGAACGTCTTGTGGCACACTGTGCACTCGAATAATGGCTTTTCTCCTGTGTGAGTACGAAGATGTGTCCGAAGATGTGCACTCTGAGAGAACTTCCTTTGGCACACCGTGCACTCGAATGGCTTCTCTCCTGTGTGAGTGCGGAAATGTGTCCGAAGGTTATGATTTGTGGTGAACTTCTTGGGGCACACCGTGCAGTCGAATGGCTTCTCGCCCGTGTGCACCCTCATGTGAGTGGTAAGTTGACTTGGTGAGGCGCAGCTCCGACCGCAAACGCTGCATTTCACTGGCATGGTTGTGACGAGAGGCAGTCGCCGCCACGGTGTAATTCAATCTGGAAAGAAAGAGAATTCGCTCAAATTAATTTAAAAACAGGCTACAATTATTATTGACGGGCAGTAAATTGCTACATAACATGGCTCTTGTATTTTTAAAAGACTGCATGCTCGCGGTTCTAAGAACTCTCAGGATTTTTCTAGTTGTCTGGACCTGACCATCCACACACCAACGCCCATACGCGGGCGCGCCGCTAGTTCGTCCTCGCTGGAGCCACACACTTGGCTCCGGGTGGGAGCCGGAGAGGTACTCGAGCGAATGTGCCGGTGCGATTTGGCACGCCCGGCCTGCATGAGAATGGGCACAGAGAGGACAGGTAGGTCCCCGCTCTGGGAACCAACCGGGCGAGTCGGGAGCCCGAAGCAGCTGAGGGGGTGCGAACGCCACGGCGAGTGCTAAAGTAGTTTCCAACGAGGAATACACGTCGTAACGACAAGTCGATGTCGTGACTGTCGTGAGTCTGCCGCCGGGATGCTTTCTTG